GCTTCGTAGCGGTTCCGTCCCCGAGGGTAGGAGACAGGACTGCTGATGGTATGCTATAATGACTTTAAGGGGTCCACAGAGGAATACTTAAAATTACGTTTATTTTAACACATGTTGGGGGGAAGCTGTAAAACCACATAACCATGTAAGTTTTTCTTTTAATTAAAAGACAGTCAGTTGAATTAAATAAAGATATTAACAGACAGATGACTTGAAGACAAAGCAAAAACCGTGAATGTCTTGTCAGAAATACTGGCCGCTGGGAAACCCATGGAACACAGAAGTTAAGCACTCAGGCTGTGGATCAATGATTAGAATCTCACCTATGAGCTAAGCAATTTTGAACAAATTACTTAAATCTCTTTAAATCCCAGTTTTCTAGTGGTATAGTGGGGATAAAGTAACCCCCTCCTAAACCTGCTCTACAGGCCGAAAGAGATCATCTACAAGATGTTCTTAGCTGGGTGCCTGCCTGGCACTGTGAGTGCTCAGAAATATTAACATTTACAGTTACTCCTGATCTCTGCAGGCCATCACGTCTCCACTCGTAGTCCACTAGGCACTCGATCTGTATTACAGGCAATCTTCCACAGAAGGGGTTTCTGCCCCAAATTTCCCTTACCTGTTTGTACTGTCTTCAGTTTTATCTTCTGGTACAAATTAAAAAAAAATCACACAATAACTGTTATCATTCATTCCTAAGACTGAACATCTTGGCAGAGGGAACCAAAAGCCATTTCCTCAGATTACTGGGCCTTACAAAATTAAAAGAGTCTTTGATGCAGAAGAACCTCACCATGCACGGTACATCCACTACTTGAAAGCTCTGATGCTATCCTGATGGGTAAGTAGAGGAAAAGCCACAGGGTGTTCCTCTGCTCCACTGAGACAGTCATCAGCGGAGCCTCAGCTGATGGGTCTACTCCCATTTCCCAATCTCATTCATTCAATAACCACCAGGTATGTGCCACCCACCATGCAAAGGGATGGGGGACACGGACACAGTCTAGAACAGGAAGAGACCACTTCTGGAATACAAGCGAGTAGAGAGAAAATTACCAGATGAGGTGCTATGTAAAGAATACCCAATAGTGTTTCCATCCCAGCTATGCTCCACAAACGCTGACTGTGCCACCCCCGCCCCATGACGCAGAGCACCAGCAGCACCACAGGGACCAGCAACCTCACTGCTCCTCTGTGTTCACACTCCAAGTATCGGCTAACCATATCAAAGTTTTCGTCTCCCAACCAGGCAAGTGTTGAAACTCAGTGACAGCCCTTGTCTGATCTGACTTGTGAGCAAATACATGTACACGCAAGTCCCAAAACATGACTGGCATTCTGTTAATCTAGAGCAAAATAACTAGAAATGCAACCAGCAGATCGGTATCTATTTAGCCTTTCTGGAGGTTGGTAAAAATATACTATAGAAAATTTACTGAAGGTACCCTCTCCAGAGAACACTCTTATTCACAAAGATGTCCTGACTGACACATCAATGGCATTATTGAGAAATTTAAAATGCTGTGACTCAGTAAACTAATTCTCAAGACCTCTAAGCTACAGTTAACAGACTGAGATAAGCTTTCACTGTGTTACCCTATTTATGAGGTGACAAATCTCAATTTACTGGAAGTTCCCTAGTCATAACTCAGTCATACAATTTTGGGATGTCATTCACTAGAACAACAGGACTCTGTACCAATTTGTGTAACATTTGTATCAATGATCAGTCCTTGTCTTAAACAAATATGGTACAAATATTTGTGCAAATCATTAAACTGACTACAAAAACTGAAGCACTGTTTAGGCGGTTGGAGAAAACCACTGGAGAGGGAAAGAGAGGCGTAATACTCTTCAAAGACATTTCACCAGTAAGGATGGTGAGATCGAGTAGGGGTGGGTGGGGACGGGCTGGAATGAGCCAGGACTTCTGTATTTCAGCTATGTGTAATATGCTGATTACAGAGTTAGACTGTGTAGCAGTAATAAATCTTTAAGAAACAAAATCCAGCATGGAAGCGTGAAAAAGTATCTTTAATTAAAAAAAGAACATAAAATATAGGTCTTAAATTTCCAGAATATATATTCCTTTCTGAGAATACAAGGTCTGTCTGGAAAAAGCCCAGCCAAAATATAATGAGAAGAGTGTGCACAACATCAACATAACCTGGCGGCCCAGGAGAGTGGGCTGGCATGCGTGGACAATGAGGACTTCACTGTACTAGTGAGTGGGGGCGGTAGACACCATTGAGTGAGCAAGTGTACTGTGTAGCCATCACATTCAAAATGACTGAGAAGAGCAATGAACCTGCTTCAAATATTGCGTTAAGCTTGAACATTACTCTGTGGAAACCATCTGGATGATTCAGAAGGCCACAGCTATGGGCAACTGGTGACTGGCAGCTCCATCAAGGCTACAGGTGGGCTCATGTATCTTATCTGCTGCCAAGTTTGTTTGTTTTAATTTTATTTATTTATTCTTTAGAGAGAAGGGAAGGGAAAGACAGAGAGGGAGAGAAACATCAATGTGTGGTTGTCTCTCTTTTGCCCCTTACTGGGGACCAGGCCCACAACCCAGGCATGTGCCTTGACTGGGAGTCGAACCAGCAACCCTTTGGTTTGCAGGCCCATGCACATCGGCCAGGGCCAAATTTGTTTTTTGTGTGGATTTTTTTTTGGTGAAACATCAAATCACCCAGGTGTCTCAGCCCCCTATAGCCCAGATTTGGCACTCTGTGACTTCTGGCTTTTCCCCAAACTAAAATCACCTTTGAAAGGGCAGAGATTTCAGACCATCAATGAGATTCAGGAAAATATGATGGGGCAACTGATGGCGATTGGGAAAGCTGTGTGGGGGCCCAAGGTGCCTACTTTGAAGGGGACTGAGGCGTCATTGTCCTATGTACAATGTTTCTTGTATCTTGTACCTTCTTCAGTAAATGTCTCTTATTTTTCATATTATGCAGATGGATACTTTCCAGGCAGACTCCCCTTACTGCTTGGGAGAGAGTATTTTGCCAATATTCTACCATTCTCCCTCTACTACTTACTTACCTTTTACTATGTACTGAGAACAGTACTAAATCCTCTACCTACATTATCTTTGTTAATCCTACAGCAAGCCTTCTGGGGAGAAGCTATTATTATCATCACCTCCATTTTACAGATGAAGAAATACTGTATCACTAATATAGGCCAAATCACAAAATTTAAAAATTTTATCTGTCATACTGTAGAGTTAGTTTTACTCGACTGGCCTTTAAACAGTGAAGTGTACAAAAATGAGCTCCTCCCCTATCCCCGAAACAGCTATAATCCATTCTTTACACCCTCACATGTAACAGTGTTTCTATACTTAAGTCAAGTGGGAGAAACTAGGTTAATAATGCTGTATTTTAATGTTTCCACAGTTCATAAAATTACACGGAACAGGGAAGCAGTTTGATGGTTTAGACTCAGAGCATTCTCTTGGGTTCAGACAGTCCGGATTTGATTCTGTACAGCACCACCAATTACCGCAAACTGCTCTCATCTCTCAGATTTCACTTCCTCATCTGTAAAATGGGAATGATAATAAACAGCACCTCCCTCAAAGGCTTGCTGTAGATTAAAAAGGGTAACGCGTGTGAAGGGCTGATCGCTGTGTTCGGCACACAGAAAAAGGTCAACCTAACAGTGGAGGGAGAACAGCCACATCTATAAGCTCACCAGACCAAAATATTAAGTAAAAAGTCTGTGTTTTGAAAATCCCTTTGTAAAAAAAGGAGAGACAATTTGACGATCTGCTAAAGATAAAACTCAAATTCGACCTATTCCTAACGGTTTTAGAAGACCAATGCATTTGAGGGGGGTCAGAAAAGATGCTGCAGTGCATCTGAGACACACACCTAAAAATGGCTCCAGTCGGAACAGCATCTTAAATACCGAGAGAGGAGGGTAAGTCTACTTTTAACTAATGCGAGAGGTAGGCTTGGTGGGCGCTTAAGTATCCCTTTTATTTGCAGGAATAAGCTATCGAGCACTTAATCAAGGATCCTGATGCTTCCAGTGCATTCCAAATGAAATCTCACAGCACAGCCGCTTACAGTACAACCTCAAATACCCTAGCGAAGTAAGAATCTATGAGCCTAGGCTGAAAAACAGCCAATGCGGAAATCCGGGTGGCTTCAGAAGCCAGCAAACATCAGGCATGTCGGAAATCTCCCAAAGAAATCTCAAATCAAGTCAAAACAAATATACATCCCTTTACAGGAATTTGACGCATTCCTCTAGGGCCAACGAAGAATTTATCCGTGTTCATTGGCGCCCCTGTCCCTTTCTTCAAGTCCTACCGTGAGCCTTGTCGGTAACATGGACAACACTACTGGTAACTCAAAGTGGGGGAGCCGCGGAGTGGGACTGACCACGCAGGTTAGGGGATGGAGAGGCCTAGGGTGCGAAAGCCTACGCGAACGCTCCGCGGGAGTTGGGGCAGCACGTCCCTAGCGGAAGCAGGGCTGGTCCCGATTCCTCCGTGAGCCTCTCACCGAGTCAGGTCTGTAATCCGGTCTCCCGGACCCCGCTCGCTGCAATTCCCCCCACGCTACACACACACGAAAGGCGCGCAGGAAAGGCCCTGGAGAAGCCCTGGAATGGTCGGGGGGGACGCTGGAGAGAGGCCGCGCGCTCGCCCACCCCACGGGACGGAAACCCCCTTCACCTCCTCCCCGGCCACGCGCGCCGTCCCCAAGCCGGCCCGGGTGGGTGGGAGAGGCCGGCGGGTCCGGAACTCCCGCGGCAGACCACATGGGGCGGGTCTGACTCCGGTTTCCCGCTCACCGAGCAGGAGGCCAAGACTTCCCCAGCCACGGGGAGGGAGGCTGCCGCAGAAAAAGGAAGGGATGCCCGGGCCCCAGGCCCTCCCCACGCGGCTCCCCAGGGTCGGGGTGCTCCCACGCCCGCCCGCCCCGATGGGGCCCGCGGTGATCGCGGCCCCTCCGCCGCGCTGCTTTTCTTACCGGCCAGGGTGTCAAGCCGAGTGTGTGCGCACTTCGAGGGTCTCCGCGACCCCGGACCCAGGGAAGGGGAAAGGGAGGGCTAAGCGCAGGGAGTGGCTGAAAGACCACAGGACTGGCAGAGCCGCAGCTGCGGATGGACAAACCTCCAAAGCACTTTCGCTGCCGCCCGAAACGCTGAGAGCAAGCGAGAAAAAGAAGCAAGATGGCGGCTAGCCAGCCCCTACGTATGACGTTATGCCGCGGCGTACGTAAGGCAATCTCCGCAAGACCGCCCCCCGGCGCAGACACGGCCGGATCACGTGAAGCCTCCGTGGCGACCCAGCCCCGGCGGAAGGCGACGTCGCCACCTGCTGGACGGAGGGAGTTCCCGCAGTCGGAGTTCCGGCGGCGCCGTGAAATCCAGGATTTCTCGGGTAGACCACGATTACAGGTCTTTAAGCCTCACCGAAGGAGAGCGAGCACTCCAGGGCGTGGGGGATAGGTGTGTGATTTGCTTCGCGACAGTCCGGCAGTATGAAGCAAAATTAAACTATGAATAATCTTTCATCTTCATATTTGACAATACTTTGATGTTTTTCAGAAAGGTACACGCGCAACATTCGTAATACCAAAACCTGCCCGTTGATAGAGACGTAAATACGTTATGAAACATCTATGTCCCATAATATTGTAAAGCCATTAAATTCAGAATAATATTAATGAGCAGGAAAATACTCCTACAGTGGAGATGGAGAGAAGTAGACCGAGTATGGCATATATTTTGGAGCGAGAATATACTTTCTGGTGCGAGATGATCGTTTCTCAATGGGTGGTGGGGAAGTAAAGTGTCGATGACAACGTGTAGATTTATGGCTTGAACAACCGCGGTGGATGACCGACGTTTATGGAGACTATGGAGATGGAAGAGGAAAGGAAAACAAAACATTTTGGTTGGTAGAGCAATACAAATTAAATACTCAAAAATGGGGGAAGTTCTTTAACGTGTTAAATTCGAGGTGTTTGTGCAATGTCCCACTGTAGATTAAGTAGGCCGCTGCCACGTCTCGAGCTCAGAGGGGAGATCGGTATTGGAGATTTCGGCTCCACAGACACGTGTTTAAAAATAGTGGGACGTGATAAGGTCACTCAGAGACAGAGTGGGGGGAAGAAGGGTAAAGGGGCCCAGACCTAAACATTTAGAGGTTGGGTGGAGGCGGAGCGCGCTTAGCAACGGGCACAGAAGGGAAGCCTAGAACCGGACAACCCAAAGAGGATGATGTCACAAAAGCCAGGAGAGGAGAGTTTTACAGGGGCCTGTGAGCAATCAGCTAAGTGAAACGCTGCTGAGAGGTCTGGCTAAAAAGGAGGAGCCAGGGGTGTCTACTGTACTTGGCAATGGGGAGGGAGGTAGGTCACTGGTATCCTTTTTCAAGAAGTTTTGGTGGAGCAATGAGGTCAAAAAGCCAAATGCTTGTGAGCAAAATAGATGTTGAGAAAATGGAGACTAGATAAACAAGTTTTTCCAGGGCCTGAATTCAGCCGGGACTGAGAAACAAGGTCGTGGCTGGAAGGAATGTAGAGTCAAGAGAGGCAGTTTAAAGTATTGGGGACAGTAGATCATGTTTGGATGGTGATGGGAATAATTCAGAAGAACGAGGTGGGCAGCAATTAGGTAGCAGGGGGTGGAAGCTGAGGGAGGCAAGTCCTCGGGAAGGTGTGTGTGTGTGTGGGTGTGGCCAGAGTGCAGGCCCAGCATCTGCCTTTGAAGGAGAAGGAGGTACACCTCTAGGGACTGTTGATTATTTGATGGTGGGGACCTAAGGCACGTCCCACTGATGGCTTCTATTATTTCAGTGCAGTGAGGGACAAGGTAGCCTGCTTTTCAGGCTCAGTGTGTAGGGGTCTGAGGAGAGGAGGATCCCAAAGTGAGCAGGTAAATCTGGTGTGAGGAGCCCTGCTGGGACGGCATGCTCTGCAGAGAGCACTTTGCACGTTTGCGATTATGGGTGTGAACTGTGCCGTCCCGATGACTTACATGATTTCTCCTGCAGTGGGCAGCTCTTTGGCGCAGCAGCAGAGAAGACAGTCGGTTTGATTCCCCGGGGCTGGGTTTTTTTCAGGCGAGTGTAATCTGGAGAGGTGAAGGCCTCTGTAGGTGAGCGACTGTAATATTGAGTTTGGACATCTGGTGTGTGTGTGGTGGATGGTAACTGTGTCTACTTTATGAATGATCTATGGTGTGTGTTAAATCTGAGGATTTCCTGCCACTCCTCAGAGAGCAGTCTTACTTCCCTTATTTCCATTATCTTGGGGGCAATTGCTACATATTGGTACAGCATCCAAAGTCAAATAATATTCTTTTAAAATTTACTTTGTTATGGCTTATTTGCACCTCTCCGAGTAACTCCTTCAGTGTAAATAAATTTGCCATAACAAAACATTTTCATGGCAGATTAATTTCCAGTTCTGCTTTGTAAACAGTAATTTTAGGGTAATATCATCAACTTGTCACTTGGGGATATAAACTCAGGCAGACAAGTTTCTTTTTGAAAACAAAGGGATTACCCAAACAGTATAACCTATTTCCTTTGTGATTGCCCAGCCTTGTTAAGCTAATGAATGGTTTTATTGAATTTCTACCTCTCTCACTGGGATTGATTCTATAAACTTGTAGGCACCAAAGACTTAATGGGATATAGGTTTTCCCAATATCCAAAATTAGAGTGTTCCTATGAAACTTCTTGTAAGCATGGCGCAAAGTAGCAATCAGCATTCATTTACATGGAAAAAATTTTAAGAGTTTCCAGACCCCCCAAATAACCTACTAAATCAAATATGCTTAATTACGTGCAGTTTTCTGCTAAGCAAACACCCTTACCAGCGCTCTTGGGCCTTCCTGAGACCTTGGGACACACATTGCTAACGGATGCATAGGGTCAATAGGCATGAAGCGCGGATGCTCCCAGACTCAGATCAGTGCGCTGGGGGCCTTGAACTGAGACGCTCAGTGCGGTGGTTTCTGGGAAAGGAGCCTCGCGCGACCACCCTCGCTGCTCGGTGCATGCTGACTTATAGGCCTCGCTGCCAAACGTGTCACGGCAGAACACCGTTTTCACCTTTCACCCTTTTCCCTCGAGGTGAAGGTCCTCTTCGGATTTCTGTCAGTTAGTGAAAAGAGGTACTAAGGTAGGTCTTTCCTGAAAGCAAAGCGGCGTGATGTGAATTTTCAGAAAAGCAGGAGAGGCCTTTATCAAGTGAAAATAAAAAATAAAAGAATCGATGAAGGTATCATGTTTTATTAGTAGTAATGCTTCTTTAAAGGTTTGTGTGCACGTGACGATTTTGGTTTCTTTTCTTCAATGATGTTCCAGAAAATCATATGTAGTAAAACTGTGAAACATTATATGCCTGGTGTAATAAATATCATAATACCCAAATACTGTATGAAAATGTAATCTCCGTTGTGAATGTCAACAGATATTGTAACTTTGCTAATTAAGATAAAAAAAATATTGCCAGTGCTTGAAAAATCACCTTGGCCAACTTGTAGAAGGTTATATAATAAATTATATATTTATTATATGTGCTAGATGCAAAATACTACATCATCTCTAAAGTGGAATAACTACCTGCTATTATTATTTATCTCAGTAACCCCTTTTTATAATGGAATAAAAAGTATGTAGCTACTTGTTGGCCAAAATGTTATTTGTTTACCACAGGTTATATGTTCATGGGGTTTACTGTCCCCCTGAAATTTCCCCCAGATTTTCTTAGCTGAGAGGAGGAAACCAAGTTCTGGGAGCAGTGGCCCCCAGCTGAGAGGTCACAGGGTTGTTAATGAGTAATATCTGGGAAGAAGGGAGGGGAAAGGCAAGGAGACTTGCAGGCTCACAGCTCCTCCCCAGGCTGGAAGTTCACCTGAGACAGGAAGTGAGTAATGATAAAGGTCAAGAGACCAAAAGGAAATGGGGTGGGTCTGGGGAATGCGGAGCAGAAAAGGGGACAAAGGAAATCAGCCAAGGCAGTAACTGAAGATACAAAATAGGTGATTTCTTAACATTTTAGGCCAGAAAATAGAAACTGGAGATACTGATAATGGATAGAATTACCTCTAAAATTGTAACTCGGGCTGCTTTCTGTTACATTTCTTAAAGTTTAAGGCACTTTTTATTTTTATTTTTTTTTTGCTACCCAACCAATTGTATATACAATGTATAAATGAAACCACCCAGTTTCAAATCTTTTATTGCTCCAGAGTAATTAAGAGAACTATGATGGGTAGTCCACTTCTTTGGCGGCAGTGGCTCAGAGTATCTTGAATAACTTTTAGGCTGCTGATGGCAAAGAGAATTTCATGTGTTACAGAGAATCGGCAGCTCATGCCTGCTTCAGATTTTGTTTCTTTGTAGTCTCCATTCTTATTTCTGCTGGGGTTAATTAAGAGTTACTTCAGAAATATTTCTTTGAGTCTCCGTGAGCTAATTGCTGCCAATGGGAATTGGTCGCCCGGTGCTCTGAGGATGAGGCTGCTGGTAACTTAAGGGGGACAGTCCTGGTAGGAAGGCAAAGGAAGAGGAGCCTCGGCAAAGAGAACTGGGAAAAAGCTTCTCCAAGTACTGAACAGCCTGGGTAAATTGCAGTGAAATGAAACTCTTCGTGTCAACATTCAGTATTACTTACAGGAAACGTCTAATTGCCAAGCCGTAATCATGGTAATGATTAACAACCTAGGGCCACCTGTCAGCTTCGTGTGACCAGGCCACCGGCTCGATCTTGAGAAGAGGCTGGTGGGGTGGTGAATCATCCCAGCTTGCACAGGACTGTCAGAGCTCTGTGGCTTCCTATGACTCAGGAAAGTTCTCCGTCCAGGGCAGAATGGGACAGTTGGTCACCCCACGCTGGCCACAGTGAGGTGGGGACATGGGTCTTCATTTCAAACTTCTTCCACATTAAAATTTCCTTCTGGTCCCTACCATTTGCCTGAGACGATGCCCTTGATGAGGCCACTAGGAGGACACCACTAGGTGCTGTGCCTGATCCCTGAAAAGGTCTTTTGAATCTCGAGGGGCTAGCCAAGCGGAGAAGGTGGGCCTGCAGAGCCCCAGCAGCGACTGGACAGCCGGCGTGGTTCCCACCTGGCTGTCATTGCTGCCTTTGCTCCGTTCACCCCCTTAGAGCTGCGAGTCAGCCAAGGCCTACGGGGGCCAGCCCTGCGCCAGGTGCTCCG